TATCATACAGCACACAGCCGTAATAGACATTAGGAGTGTTCATTGAGGGACCAATCATACAGCACATAGCGACATTGCCGTAATAGACATTAGGAGTTTCTAGTGAGGGACCTATCATGCAGCATATAGCGACACAGCCGTAATAGACATTAGGAGTATCCAGTGAGGGACCTATCATGCATTTGCATAAGCATATGCGTATAGCACGGGTTGGGGTGGGGGAGGTTCTTGGCTGAAAATACGTAGGCCTACCAATTTTTCTTCCACGAATTCTGCAATAAATTTCCCGACAGTCCATAAATTAAATAAATAGCATTAAATAAATAAATTATATCTCCAATGCTGTAAAGTGTCCCGCAATGTTTTATAGGATTACCATCATAATATTGCCCTGTGTTTAAAACAAAAATGAACTCGTTAGTCTACATATCTCTACATGTAGTAGACATACTCGGTACGGTACCGGTACTACTAGTCATGGGCGCCCGCAGGGGTGGGGGGCAAGGGGGGCACTTGCCCCCCGCCTGGATTGATTGGATAACAATTAATTAGACAAAAATAGACAAAAAATTTATTAAAGTTAAGAGAAAATAAAGAGAAAGTAACTAAGCTGATGTCCTGTCCGTTCGTTCACCATACAAATACGCTACAGTAAATTAAAACTACATTAAAACATTACTAAAAAAAATTTGCCCCCCCCCCCTGGGAAGTTTATCGGTTCCCCCCCCCCCTAGAAAGTTTTCTGCGGGCGCCCATACCTAGGAGGCGTTTTCAGTTGGACCCTGTACGATATGTATATGACAAGCAACTGGAAGATGCTTGTTTTCGAAACTCTCCGTACCCTACCAGAACAACATATATTTGATAAAGTGGACAGATTCTTTGAGGTGCATGCAGTGGCATAGCTAGGGGTGCGGTGCGCACGGGTGACACTTCTCAGGAGGGTGACACCTATTCTTTTAAAAATCTTATTTACAGTAATTTACACACACTGCTCATTCTAACCAAATTCATAAAGGGATAGCCGATCACACGTGTATTTTCCACATATGTAACCAATGAAAATGCGTGCTTAATTTGAAGTTAAA